GCGGGGGGAGAGGGTGGCACAGGGCTGGATGCAGAGCAGGGGTAGGTGGCATGCGGCCGGATGCAGAGCAGTGGCAGCGGCAGCACGGGGCAGTGGGTGGCAGCAGCAGTAGCTGCATGCAAGCTTCCCCCCCACCCTGTTCCTGGGAGGTGACAGCAGCGTGGGGTGATGGACGGCGGCATTCTGTCCCCCCCCCCCCCCCCCCCCCCTCTTGATGGACAATTTGCTAGCAGAATCATAGAATGGAAAGACCAGAAAGGACCTGTAAGATCATCAAGTCTGATCCCCTGCCATGGGCAGGAGGTTATTGGGCTCAAATGAGTTCAACAAGGTGCTTTTCCAGTCTCCTCTTGAACACCTCCAAGGATGGTGACTGTACCACCTCTGCTGCGAGCGTGCTCCAGATTCTAGATACCCCTATGGAAAATAAGTTTTTCCTAATGTCCAACCTAAATTATTCCTCTATCAGCTTGTGCCCATTGGTTCTCCTCCATGGTAGCCTAAATAATCCACCTACTTACATTATTTATTTTGGTGGGGCTGATTTTGCAGTCTGAGAAAGGTCTCTGAATCTTTTACAAGAGATACACACATGTACTTCGTAATGTAATTTGTCATCTATATAAACATACATATATTTACCTTCTATTTTTATATTACTAGACTTGTACATAACTCTCAGTTTTTACCATGTACTCCCACCCTTAGCTTATCTCCTGAGCAATAGTAGAGATTCCCAAGTGACCTATACATTTTGCTTTGGAAAAAGGCATCTGGTAAGGTGCAGCTATAATCTGATTGACCCCAAAAAGAAGTTGATTTTTAAAAAGCCACTTTTGCCCTAACTATGATGTTTGTATTATAGAAGCTCTGCTTGGTTCTGAGCCAGACTGATTATGAACTGGCTGCACAGTTGTGCTGGAGGGAGCTCCTAGGAGTACCTGTTAACATTTCACCTTCAAAATGAAGGGAAAATTAGGATAATATCCCTGCCTTAGATGGAGTTAGATCCTCCCTGACTACTAATATTGCATCTGTGCCAGAGATGACTTGCCTAGGAGCTCATTACATTGATTTTTGAAAAACACACTTTTGCTTTTTAAATGAACTACTCTGAACCATGTGTTGGGCATCTGCAATATTTTTCCTGCAGGCAGAAATCTCCAGGCTCCCACCCTAAGAAGCCTAAGGCTCATATAATTTAAAATGGGGTATGACCTCTGTGCCATGTTCTCAGTCACTGTGGTCAAGGGCAAAGTTTGAAAATTTTCGGGGAATGGCACTTCTAAATACATGCTGCTTTGCACCTTGACTGTAGAAAGAACTTTGGCTTAAATGGGAAATCTAATTCACAGTTTTCTTGATTTCCTCACTGTTCTACTTCTTAGTACTCCTGGGATATGGGGCCCATCACAGACTAAATTTTTGTGGGAACTCCTTGCCAAAATATTGGCAGCATATCAGCATTCTGCCATTGGTTCACTATTCAGCCAATGAACGACCCAATCTGTGTACCACTGTTATTGATATTGGTTATTATAACATGCCATGAGCCCTGACTGTCAAAATAGGATGCACAGGATAGAATCTTATTTATCACATCCTGGCCCTGGTTAAGTTGATGGAAAAAAAACTACTGACTTCAGTGAGCCTGTGTTAATTAATGCTTCTACATTAATTAGCTTAGTCATTTGTCAAGCATGGTTTTGATGAGGTTTAATGGTTTTTCCATACAAGCGGAGCCCAAAGCAAGCCTGGATGCTGATTGGGAAGGGGGGGAATAAGGGCAGAGAAGTTAGCAGGGGTATGCATAGAAGAGAGGCAACTGAAATGCATATGTATACCTTGGTGTCTACTACACTGGAATCACTGCTGAGGCATAATAAAAGATGATGAAAATATCTCCTCTGAGACAGTGGCAAGGTCAATGTTAGCTGGAGTTCTCTGCTGCATAAATGACATTTGCCCAATTTAGGCTTCCCAGGGGCTAGTCTTACATATACAATGTTTTGTGATTCAGAAAATAGCCTGAGCTTTTGTTTGCAAGGCAGCTTTCCATGTACTCCCTGATGCCCACACAACAAACCTTGCTCCTACTCCACTGCCTCACATGAGTAGGGGCTGTTTTCTAGAGTATTTCTGGAGCTGGGGACAGGGATTAGGAGGTTTACAGACAAGTCAGTGGGAGTAGGGAAAGATTGCTTATGTCCCCAAAACCTATGTCAGGTTTGCCTGACTAATAAAAAAAAAGTTGCAGTACTCTGTTTAAAGGAACAGTATCAGGATAGGAAAAAATAAAAACCCTATCCCTAATGTGTTACCAACAACAGATGAAAAAATTGTATTAGAGGCCCAGTGCACTGTAGATGCACAAACCCGCTTAGGTCAATGGAGCCATGCCAGTTTGTGCCAGCTGAGAATCTGGCCTTTATTTAGGTGTAATTGTCTCTTTACTCTCTCTGATATTTGTTTACTTTTTGCCTGTGTGCAGTCTGAAAAATGGCAGCGCACTAATAACTTCTTTTATGTTTCCTGGTTTTAGTCAGCTTCATTTTCTGCTCATTACGCACAAACACGAAACAGTTACATCTTGGATTGTGACAATGCCAAGAAGAAAATGTTTTTACTATTTTTTTTAAACACTGAAATGTGCCATTACTTTTAGGAATTTGCAAAACTGATTTTTTTATTGGAAGCTAAATAATGTGCCTATACTTATTTTGTCATTTTCTTTTGCAGCTATAATATCCACTGTAACAGCTGTTCTGCAAGCTTAACCCTGTTAATTGACACTAAATCTCTAGTGTTGCAGGCTGGTCGTGTGTTTGTGCTGCTGCACGGACTCCGAATTCCTCAGCTCAGTGTCTGTGTTGTTATTTATTTTCATTGAGATAAAAACCAGAATTCTTGATCCTGACTGGGCAGACCAGTTGTTTAGGTGCTGAAAAAAAATCCCAAGCTGTAAAGGGTATTAACTGAACAGCAATGAAGTGCCCAACTTTATTTTCATGAATGCTCCTGTTAACATAATTTGGACTGTCATTATTTCCTTGTTGTTGATTCTCAGAATTTCTTGAGAGTCTTGCAATATTTGGTGAATGGTTTTTGTTTGCCTTCTGATTTTCATTTGAAGCTCACACACCTGCAGTCTTGCGATTGTATGAGAATCTCAGCTCTCACTTTAAAAAAAGTAAACTTCTATAACTCCAGCAGAGAAAAGTTTGGAAATATGACCTGATTACAACTCTAAAAGACTGAAAAACAGAACATAAAAAAGAAAAAAACTCAAAAGCTGCTATTTAAAAGAAATGCCATGATTTTAAACCAACCTTAGATTTTGGAGGGAGTTCTTCCATGGTTTTTAAACAACTGGGCTTGACAATATTGTTATTTACAGTCCATAAAAACTCTATGGACTGTAATGGAGATGGAGGAGCACTGTTTTGTTTTGGGCACTTTACAAACACAGTCAGAGACAATTCCAGCCCCCGAAAGATTATAGTCTACATGGACAAGACGGGTAAAGGAGGGGAAGGGAAACAGACACAGAGAGGGGTCGGAGTAGCTCAGTGGCAGAGCCAGGAATGAAACTCCACTCTTTTAGAGTTCAGGCCAGTGTCCTACCTGATTTCATGTCACACTGCTCCATCCACGCTAAGTTACTCACATGTGATAAGAGTTTAGAGGAGAAGGCCCACATACCCTATACAGCTATCAACTAATGATGGGTCTTCATTTGTTCAGGTAGCATCAGCCTGAGCTGTTGACATTCAAGGCTCTATTCTAACTCCACGGCTTGCAGCGTTCTTCTTAATAAGGCAGAGGGAATTTATACATAACAATTCAACCATTTCGGCTTAAACATTCCTCCAAATCTTGCTGTGAACTACAGCTTGTCACAGTTTGTCCTTCCCCCACTATCCAGTACGTGATCCTCCAAAATGAAGGGGACTTTGGCCTGCGCAATGACCCCTGCACCCTACATCCTTAGGTAATGGTAGCAGCTGCTCTCCACATTGCTATGGATTTCCAGTTGTGTAAGGAAGTAACCCACTAATACCCACCTCAGATCCACACCCCCAAACCTGAGAAACATGAGATTTTAAAAAATCCATTCTATATTAGTTTTATTTGCCTTCCAGTTTCTGAGCCTTTGAGTTCATATGACTCCAGGAGAGCTCAGCCTTTAAGGAAAACATCAGCATCATGACATTTGCAATAAAATCACAGCAGTCAACAACACGGTTTACCAACAGGAAGTTCCCAAATGGCCAAATATTTGGTACAGCATATTAAATAGGTAAGAAAAAATATCACAAGAGGTAATAGAAGAAAAAACCCATGAAGCCATAAGCTAGGCAAGAGTCCATTTTGAAGGTGTAGTCTAGAAATCTATCTACAGATAGATTTCTAGGCTACAGATTAAATGTTACTTGTAGGTTAATTCTTACTGAAAATAATACATCTGCTTCATTTGTAGATAAAAAAAATGGATGATGCATCTTTTCTGCCTTCTCCTTTGCAAAAAGGAGGTCTTTTCTCTCCCAGAGGTCCATTTCTTCGGAACCACAAATAAGCAAAGTCAAAACAATGCTATGAACACTGGATATGGTCTTTCAACCCATGATTTGTTAAGCAAAATACACTGGAAAGATCAAGTTGCATTGCTGTCACTGGGAAGTGGATTGGAAATGACAAACTCAATAGTGTTGAACTGATATGTCTGCAGCCCAGATAGAGTGGTTATTTTTCACAAGGTGAGGAGAAAAAAAAAGAGCAAAAGAGAGAGGTGCAGGAAGGGAGTCATTAAACTTGGCTCTTACCATTAGAGCAATAGTTAGCATCAGAAGAACACTGGAATCAGTGTTTGAAGTTTTGGCATTGCAGAAAGGACTAGAATGGTAATGATAAATATCAGCTACAAGAGTATGCAGGAGGCAAAGCCCAGAGGCTGCCAAGTTGTGAGACCTAGGACAAAATCCCATTACACTTAATATGCACAAATAGCAGTTACACAGCCACATAATTCATAGATTCATAGATTCATAGATTAAGGGTCGGAAGGGACCTAGTAGATCTTCTAGCCCGACCCCCCGCCAGGGCGGGAGAACAACAAAAAACCCCAAAAAGAGAAATGGGACTCAAACGAGTCCAGCCAGGTAGGCATCCAGCCTCTTCTTAAAGACCCCCAGGGTAGG